ATGTGATGAACTACTTTTGGAAGGTCCAGAAATCAAGGTTGAAGCAGCCAACCCTGGATTCCTTCGTTAAAAAAGTAGCAAAAGACCCTACAGACAAAGTGCCTGTAAGACAGTCACCAAAGAGGGCGAGGAAGGATGACTCCTCTCCTTCCACCTCCTCTCCATAATTCTCTCCTCCCCCTCTGCCTCCTGAACAACACTTAAGTAAGATAAAGTACCGTATTTTTTACATTTTCCACAGAAAATTTTCAGTGTTAAGTGGTTGTATTTGGGGGCCTGGGACGGATTAATCCTACAACGAACGAATGCTATAACAAACGAGGTTCTAGAACCAATTAGATTCATTATAGCATACCCCACTGTTACTAAGATTTTTAAAATGGACAGTTCTATCGGCACTTACGGGCAGGCTGATGAAGATCTATGGCAAACTGGCTACATTTACTGGACACTAGGACAACTAATAGTTTGGTAGAAAGGGGACCTGTTAAGGTATCTAGTGAAAATTATGTCAATCTCTGGAGTGACTTCAGACTCTTATAAATCTTCTCTTCATAAAAAACGTATGCTGCTCCTGAATTTCTGTTAACATGTATGTGTTTACAGTACTGTATAGCCCATTAGTTTATGCACCGATAGCATACTTAACATATGCTTTTAGCCTTCAAACTTAAACTGCAGTTTAAAAAACCCTCAAACACTAATGTTAGAAGTCACCCCATCTTACAGTACCTTACGTTTCGTCAACTGAGGATACCGCGTTTGCACTTCAAATGTTGACAAACACTTCCCACTGATCTTACCATACATTATATACAGTACCAAACTAAAACTATATAATCTAATGCAAATTATCCTACAGTTCCAAACCTAACCTTAAATAATAGGCAGTGGATATTTTGCCATGACTGGCTACGTTCCCACTAATGCTATTTTACTGTGAGTGTGCTCTGACTGGCTAATCGTCCATTACCGGCAAACAACGCGCGAACTTTATTTGACCGTGACTGCCGGCATTTGGCATTTATTTAGCCATGAGTCAATAGATGTGTAACTGTAAGCATACCTAACCATATTTCTTTTGTGCATAGAAACTTATCATTATAAGAGGTGACATGTACTTGAACCTAATAGACCCTAACCTAACCAACCAAAGAAACCCACCTAACCTTACCTAACTTCCTAGCCGTAGTGTGGACCCCCATCACATTAAACAGAAAGCACTTAGCCATGGTAAAATAGCAATAGTAGAAATTTGGCCGGTCACGGCAAAATATCCACTCCGTAAATACAGTACAGTCTACAGTACAGTCTACTGTACAGTCTACTGTAGTCTACAGTAGTCTACAGTAGTCTACTGTACAGTCTACAGTACAGTCTACTGTAGTCTACAGTAGTCTACTGTACAGTCTACTGTAGTCTACTGTACAGTCTACAGTAGTCTACTGTACAGTCTACAGTACAGTCTACTGTACAGTCTACTGTACAGTCTACAGTACAGTCTACTGTACAGTCCACTGTAGTCTACTGTACAGTCTACAGTTGTCTACTGTACAGTCTACAGTACAGTCTACTGTAGTCTACAGTACAGTCTACTGTACAGTCTACTACAGTCTACTGTACAGTCTACAGTACAGTCCACTGTAGTCTACTGTACAGTCTACAGTAGTCTACTGTACAGTCTACAGTACAGTCTACTGTAGTCTACAGTACAGTCTACTGTACAGTCTACTGTACAGTCTACAGTACAGTCTACTGTACAGTCTACTGTACAGTCTACAGTACAGTCTACAGTACAGTCTACTGTAGTCTACTGTACAGTCTACAGTACAGTCTACTGTACAGTCTACAGTACAGTCTACAGTACAGTCTACTGTACAGTCTACAGTACAGTCTACTGTACAGTCTACAGTACAGTCTACTGTAGTCTACTGTACAGTCTACAGTACAGTCTACTGTACAGTCTTCAGTACAGTAGACTGTAGTCTACTGTACAGTCTACTGTAGTCTACTGTACAGTCTACTGTAGTCTACTGTACAGTCTACTGTACAGTCTACAGTAGAACACTGTACAGTCTACAGTAGTCTACTGTACAGTCTATGGTACAGTAGACTGTAGTCTACTGTACAGTCTACAGTAGTCTACTGTACAGTCTACAGTACAGTCTACTGTACAGTCTACAGTAGTCTACTGTACAGTCTACAGTACAGTAGACTGTAGTCTACTGTACAGTCTACAGTAGTCTACTGTACAGTCTACAGTACAGTAGACTGTAGTCTACTGCACAGTCTACAGTAGTCTACTGTACAGTCTGCAGTACAGTCTACTGTACAGTCTACTGTAGTCTACAGTACAGTCTACTGTACAGTCTACTGTAGTCTACAGTACAGTCTACTGTACAGTCTACAGTACAGTCTACTGTACAGTCTACTGTACAGTCTACAGTACAGTCTACAGTACAGTCTACAGTACAGTCTACTGTAGTCTACTGTACAGTCTACAGTACAGTCTACTGTACAGTCTACAGTACAGTCTACAGTACAGTCTACAGTACAGTCTACTGTACAGTCTACAGTACAGTCTACTGTACAGTCTACAGTACAGTCTACTGTAGTCTACTGTACAGTCTACAGTACAGTCTACTGTACAGTCTACAGTACAGTAGACTGTAGTCTACTGTACAGTCTACTGTAGTCTACTGTAGTCTACTGTACAATCTACTGTACAGTCTACAGTAGAACACTGTACAGTCTACAGTAGTCTACTGTACAGTCTATGGTACAGTAGACTGTAGTCTACTGTACAGTCTACAGTAGTCTACTGTACAGTCTACAGTACAGTCTACTGTACAGTCTACAGTAGTCTACTGTACAGTCTACAGTACAGTAGACTGTAGTCTACTGTACAGTCTACAGTAGTCTACTGTACAGTCTACAGTACAGTAGACTGTAGTCTACTGCACAGTCTACAGTAGTCTACTGTACAGTCTGCAGTACAGTCTACTGTACAGTCTACTGTAGTCTACAGTACAGTCTACTGTACAGTCTACTGTAGTCTACAGTACAGTCTACTGCAGTGTTAGTAATAATTAAAAAATAATATGTTAGAAGTTAAGTGCATACCCGGTAACCATTCCTGGTTTATTTTCTGGTTTATTCCTGTATATTTTGTAACATTATTTTGATCAGTGAGTTCTGATATGATAATCATTTATTGTGGAACCCGCCACCACGGTAAATCACTCTGCCGCCTAGGGTGCATAGCGCCCATGCGGGCCGTATCATCTCACGTCCAGAAAATGACACAAATTTCACCATATTATAGTAAGTTCTCTCTGTTTAATATACCAAGGGGTTCGGGGGCAGATCCCCCTGGTAAGGAAGTTAGGTAAGGTTAGGTAGGTTTGTTTGGTTAGGTCTGTTTTTCATACCCACAAATATTAAGTTAAAAGTTTATTTTCAAAATAGGTACAGTATTCAATTTTTCACATATTTCCACAAACTATAATAGTGTCCACTAATATAACAGGGAAAATCTGGCGTTTTAATAATTTTTTCAATCAATTTCACTTGCAGGTTAGTCTTATATAATTACCCATTTGCGACAGAAATGAAGGTCAGAACCATTCAAATCACATCAAAAACCATTGGAAACACATAAGTTTCATGTCCAAAACCGTCTTGTGATGGCTGCTCACTGTCATACTGAAAGTTAATTATCCTTGTGGAGGATGAAGACCGTCTACAAGAGTTCATCTGTAAACACAGACTAGTTGGCTGGACCTCTCTCGTCAAGAACTATCCACTTATCTTCTATGGTGACACTGACATATCCCACAGTTAGTAGTTTGGGACCACTAGTAACATAACAGACTTAACAACATCAACCTAGAGAAGTCGACTTGTGAAAGAGACTTAGGGGTACTTGTAAGCCCGGACTTACGGCCTAGAAAACAGTGCGTTAATGTTCAAAATAAGGCAAACAGATTATTAGGTTTTATATCTAGAAGTATAAGTAATAAGAGTGCAGAGGTCTTATTGCAACTATATCTTGCGCTAGTCAGGCCGCACCTCGATTATGCTGTTCAGCTCTGGTGCCCCTATTATAGAATGGATATCAATTCACTAGAGTCGATGCAGCGAAGAATGACGAAAATGATTCCGGGACATAGAAACCTTCCATATCAAGATAGGTTAAAGAACTAAACTTGCATTCCCTAGAAAGACGAAGAGTGCGGGGAGATATGATAGAAGTATTTAAGTGGGTGAAAGGAATCAATAAAGGGGATATAGATAAAGTTCTTATAATATCCGAGCAGGATAGGACTCGGAGCAACGGATTCAAGTTGGATAAGTTTAGGTTTAGGAGGGAGATAGGAAGGAACTGGTTCACAAATAGGGTGGTGGACGAGTGGAACAAGCTTAGCAACTTTGTAGTAAGTGCTGGAATGCTGGAAAGTTTTAAAAGGAGACTGGATAGATTCATGGATGATAGAGAGTGGTAGTAACTCTCGACAGGAGCTGCCATGCACAGGCCAACCGGCCTATTGCAGACTCCTTATTTTCTTATGTTCTAATAAAAGTAATACCCCTGTATCATGTTGGGTTAGTTTCATTATTTGAACTGTGATCAGTAATACATGAACAGATTTATCATCAGGATGTCAGCCCATATAATAACTTGAATGCTCTGACTTGGAACAATATAAATTTTGTCAACACAGTTGATGCAAAACCATTCATAAATATTTCCTCACCACGGACAAAAAAATTAACATGGGTATAATTTATAGTGGCAGCTTTACATGTAACCCATCAATATGTAAGAGTGTGTGTAAGGGAGGGAGGTCAGGTCAGCTGTGGGGGCGGCAACAGCTGCCCTCATTACACCATCCCTGCCATTTGCGTTATCGATGCTCACCGTGACAACTCTCCCACGACATTTAATAAATAGTTAGATAAAACCTTAGCGGTTATGGCAGAGTGCGCTGGTGCCTCACCTGAGCTCACAGTCGGACCTTATCGTCGGTTATATCGATATCCATGTACACAGAGACGCCATGTTCCCTCACCGCCGGACTCAATATGTCATCTCCAATATATTTTTATTTCTATTGGCACTACACTCGACTTCTAGCACTCACTAAAATCCATAAGTTCCTAATTTTATGGCAATGACTAAAGTCTTCCGTTATAATGTATCATAAAGTGGTAAAATAATAATTAATGACTCCTTAACCACATATTACCACTAACCAAACTTTACTAATTTTAACTCTGCACTATCTTAAGTCTTTAAAAAAATTAATTTACATTTATTTAATTCATTCTTGATATTTGATATATAATAAAATTAAGGATTTACTATATTTAGTTTTATAAACCTATTTTATATTATATTTACTGTAATAATGAACCAGATAAATTAAATTTAAAAAAATATGCTTTTCATTTTCCGGGTATTCAAACTCATGTAGTAACGAATTTAACACACTAAAAGGCTTTAAACGCTAATTATTATGAGTTTTACTATGAAGAGACTGAAAAAAATTAAAGAATGAGAGTGCATCAGGTGATACATGATGGTGGGGAAGTGTTGGAACGAGCGCCTCCTCCCGGGGTGTTGTGCTGTGGTCCACCGTCGTCTGCCATGTTCCTCCTACACAGGGCTCTCATCACTCGCCGGTATGATTTAAACTGTCACGCCTCTTGTTACAGGGTGTAGTGCACTTTATGAATAAGTCTATCGTGCAGTATTCACTCTGTTTGAAATTTGTTGAGTGTACTTGTGATATACTGCATAGTGGTGAAGGAGGATGACGGTGCCGTATTTGTTCCCCCACAATAACTCATTATGCTTGTCGTTATTTATAGTGGACTGTTACCGTATTTGACATACGAGTATTGAAGACATTTCTTAAGAATCGTTTTCATGAAATGTCAGTTTCCTTTAGTGGCCAGTGTATCAACCTCAGGCCCAGGGGCAGGTTTTTTCTGGAATCCTCTGCTTGGCTGTAGAGAAATAGTGTACATTTGTCCCTTCACGGATCCTTACACTGTTTGTCTTGTTTATGTACTGATTGGTGAAGGCTGAGGACATCAACTCTAGCTAATTTATAACTGGAATTTGTTATGAGGAATAACCATTTTTTACCTCCCTTTCAGTATTTTACTCTTAATACAAAATGGAGAAAAGGATTGTAATACAGGCTACTAATGTAAAGGTTGTTATATATCGGGCACAGTTCTGAACCTGGTCTATTGTTGGTCACAAAGACTATAATCGAGATCATGTTATCACCAATGAATGAATGTTGGTCAAATAGGTCCGGAAATATGTTTCTTACGGATTTACTTTTAATTAAAGGTTGTCTGGACACATGATTCCTATACTATATCCAAATCTGGTACCAGATCTTTAGTTTGTTCTAATTTATAGTCCTTGGGTGAAGCAATACCCTGGTACATACATTGTACAGTATGTACTTGGCTTCATGTTCTTACTTTTACCCCAATGTTTAACTACTCTCAAAGATTTCTTCCAAATGGGATTTCACAACATTTCTTAGTAAGCTATTCCAGATATCAACAGTCCTTGGTAAGCTGGTATTGTCATGCCCTCTCAGATGACTAACTTGGTGTGGTGGCTTTAGTAAGTTTAGTGTTACTTCTTTGCCCTGGAGTCCATATACAATGTAATCTTATAGTCTTCAGTTACATCACTGTGAAGTCTCCTATAGCTGAGGGTTGGTGTTTTAAGATGTCTGGGTCATTCATCACAGCACATTTGGTGCCAGTTTTGCTGATAGTCTGCATATTTTCTAACACTATTAAGTCCTTTTTCCTTAATGGACTCCAAAATGATTGTGAGTACAGGCAGTTACTCCAAATGTGGTTTCACTAGTGTATTATATAAACACCTGACATTGTTCTTATTAAAATTCTGGAAAGATGTGATCAATCCCATCATCTCATTTGCAATTTTATTTTCTTCCTAGTTATGTGTCTCAACTGTAAATTTATTATGTCAACTACTAGGTCCTTCTCTGCCATAGGTTTCTTTTCCTGAAGTAGCTCCTTTTAAATGGGCACTCTCATAAATTATTACCTTTTCAACTTGCATATCTTTTCCCAGATTGGCTGGCGTTGGTGTAAGATGCTGTCAGAAGCACACACTACCTGACCTGCCCTATGACTACAATGCCCTTGAACCAGTTATTAGTGCTGATATTATGCAACTCCATCATTCCAAGCATCACCAAACCTATGTCAACAATCTTAATGTTGCTGAAGAGAAATTAGCAGAAGCCACTGCTAAAGGTGAATAGTAAGTCAGGCAGTTTGTAAATTGTACTACGGTACGTACTAGTACGATCTCCTCGCACATTATAAAGTTCACTGTAGATATTTTACAGAAATGTTTGGCAAGTCTAATACAAAGGCCTACCCCGAAGAATATTTTAGTGGGCGGGCCTTTTTTGTTTTTTTTTTAATTTGCTTATTTTGTATTGCATCCGTCAGCATTTCCCACAATAATATAATGAAAAATTATATATTATTTACTTACATCAGTTTGGTAAGGTATTTGGTCATTACTAATACAGTGGTTCCTCGGTTAACGAACACAATTCGTTCCACAGAGTCGTTCGTTAACCGAATTCATTGTTTCAGTGGGATATTGGGTAATTGGTTCCACCTCACAGAAAAGTACATACAAAGTAAAAAAAATGCAGTAAAGTACACTTACTTTGGGGTGTGTATGTAGAGGGTTCCTGGTTGATGATGATGATGACGGGAATTAGAAGTGGGGGTGGAGGAGAAGGGAGAATAGAAGGAAGCGGGGATGGAGGAGAAATCACCTTTCAGGGGACCCATGCTTGATGCCGTCATTTCACCAATACATTTTTAAGTTCACTAGCTGTAATTCAAGATTATTTTATTTAAATCAACACTGCGCTATATATTATCAATGTGTTAACTAAATTTCATAATGACCAATAATTTCAATGTAAAAATGCAAAAATGTTCAAGACACCAACAAAATAGATGTTCACTCTACTGTCAACAAAAGCCACACTGACGCCTGGTGGCTGAGTCAAGTTGCTGATGGGCGCACAAAACACTAGTTCCCTGTACTGCATATAATATCAATATGTTAACTAAATTTTAAAATGACTAATAATTTTAATATAAGAAATGCAAAAATATTAAAGAGCACAACTTTCTTGATATTAACTCCACTGGAAATGAATGTGAACATAGAACAGATTACTGAATTGGCAGACTAGACCATCAGCTGATGCTCACAACAAAACATGTTGTTCGTAAGATTTCGTTATTCAAAGTTTTGTCCGTTAACCGAATGGAAGATCCTTATGGGAGGTAATTCATTAACCGAAATTTCGTTAATCAAACCGTTTGTTAACTGAGGAACCACTGTACATGCTTAATTAAACTTAGGTGTTAATATACTGACAAAGATGTAAACAAATGTAAGCTTATTCACCAGCAGCTTTATTATAGCAGATATCACATAGGCCTATACCCCTCATTTGCTACCATAGTGGTACCGGGTAACCTTTTCAAGTCAAAAATACAAAATAAATGCACGCTTTGGTGTACTGGGTGTAAACGAAAATGGACAAAAGGGCAATATTTTTAACATGTTTACAAAAAATCAAGCTCGGTAACCTATATTTTTTCCCCGTCATTGTTTTCAAATACACAAGTACAGCAGATGGTAAGGAATCTAGGTCAGTGTCTATTGTATATCTATTTTGTAGCATATGTCCTTATATGGTTTTTCAGGAACCTAATACATTCGTGTACATCAATTTCATTTAATTTTTCCTGCATACAACTTGCCCAGGTAATGAACTGGGTAATCAGTTTCCCATTTCATGAGCTAGGCAAAATGATTGTCCAGTTCGTGAACTAGGCAATTTCACAATCAGAGTGTAACATACGCATATTGTATTTTGTTAGAAATCCAAATACAGTATATATTTTATTTTTATTTTCACAGGTGATGTGAGCACGGTAATATCACTTGCAGCAGCCCTGAAATTTAATGGTGGTGGCCACATAAACCACACAATTTTTTGGAAGAACTTGTCACCAGATGGCGGAGAACCCGAAGGTATGGCAAAATAGCCCATAAGTATTGTTGAACCCTCTCACTACAGTACTGGCCTTTCAGCATAAGAAATAAATTTATATCCATAAATTAATCGTATACAGTGGCAAAAGAAATAAGCATAAAAAAATTATTAAACAAACCTTCTTTAGCAGTTGTAGATTCCTGTTACCAGACCCCAGTCATGGGGGTAACCCCTTATCTCTATAACCAAACAAAAGAGAGAGAAACTAACTTTAAGGGAGTTCGTACTGTACAGCATTTGAAGAATTTCATAAAATGTTGGAAGAACTTTCTCTCATTCTGTGGAACACTGGGAAATGGCTCCTTACTTTTTGAGGTGAGAACAGTCTTAATTAAGGATGTCTACTGTATTTGGTTCACTGACGATAAATTATCCTTAGGCCATAAAGTATGAACTTTGATATACAGTGCAGTAATATCCGTTAGCTGGAGCTCTCCATTACCCGGAAATAAAATTGGCTCGGAATTATTCTGGAAAATTTCTCTCAATTCCGGGTCTGTGAACGAGTTTCCGAGGTTGAAAACCAGGGCATTTTCCGAGAAAATCTCTCCAGAACATGGTTGGCCCATCGATCATTTGTTTCTTATTTTTTACCACGAAATAGGATTTCATTTTTCTCTGATTTTTCTTTGTACAGTACAGTACCCTGTATTGTGTTTGTATATGCTTTAAAGAATTTCTTACTACAGGGGAATTGCTGGCAGCCATCAACCGTGACTTTGGAAGCCTTGATGCCTTGAAGAGTCAGCTTTCAGCAGCAACAGTAGCTGTACAGGGTTCGGGTTGGGGCTGGCTAGGATATAACAAACAGAAGGGGGCTCTGCAGATTGCTACATGTCCCAATCAGGTGAGAAGAACGATTAATTATAGGATTATGGTTTAAGTTATATTCTTGTACTGTATATACAGGTTGATAACCCTTTATCCTTAATTCCGAAAAGCTCTAAAAACCGAAAGTTTTTTGTGGGGCAGCTTTTTTTTTTTTTTTTTTTTTTTTTTTTTTTTTTTTTTTTTTTCAGGGATTATTAGCCCACCCAGGCACAGATCACTGACCCACATCGGGGCCTGGGGGGCAAAAATTTAATAGTAATAATAATTATAATAATAATAATAATTATTCATAGTAAATAAAATTGTAATAATACACCAAAATAAAATAATAATGATTACAATAATAATAATAATAGTAAAATACAATAATAAAATTAATAATAATAATAATAATAACAACAATAATACTGTAATAATAAAATAATAACACAGTAAAGAAATACAAGAATGAAAAAAGATCAAAAGTGAGAAACACGACCTAGACCTATGAATTATTATTATTATTATAATTTGTATTATATTTTCGACCCCTAAGCCTCAATGTGGGTCAGTGATCTATGCCCGGGTGTAAAGGCCTGGGACTTGGGGATAGAAATCCCTTACCAGGCTAATCAGGATCTTAATAAAGGAAAGTCAAGGACCATGGTTTTCCGAGGAATAACAAACAACCGTTAGAGATTGGCATCTCTTTACTATAAAAATATAACACAAAACTCTGACACCACTCAACAAACATCAAATAATTACGGGAGTCAAACAATTAAGGCAGTCAACAGATAATGGGGTCAAACAATTAATGGAAGCAAACAATTAAAGGAATCAAACAAATAATGGGAGTCAGCAATTAATGGATTCAAACAATTAAATGGAGTCAACAATTGATAGAATCGAACAATAAAGGGGAGTCAGCAATTAATGGAATCAAACAATTATAGAATCAAACCATGAACAAATATTTCCTACGGCAGTGGCCCTGGGGGAAGGTTCTGGAACACGGTGATGCACACTCAGGGTAGGGAAGCGTCCTTCAACTCCACACTCGAGCTACGTCTTGTAATGGCAGGAGAACACCGGGGCACAGACGGAATGTGATGAACTGATGGTCGTGGTATGCAGTAGTGGTAGATGACCAGAGAGTTGGCAGTTGATAGGTGAAGGTCTGGGAACACAGCCCACGAGTCCAGGACCTATGATGAGATCACAGCCAGAATTTGACGGACAGCAGGGTAGCTAGATACTGACTGTATGACTGCTGGGTTGAATCTGCCGGTGACGCAGATAGTCGCTGCCATTCTCACCTCTGTCCAACCACCCCAAGTGTCGTCTGCACCAGCAAACGAGCGAGTTAGCAGCGGTAACCAGCTGGAGGATCATTTCCGCCCTTACACAGCTCCCCCAACAAAAATCTACTGTAAGGTAGATTAAAACTTAAGATTAGTACACAAAGCATAATCATCTTACAACAAATGCTATACAGTGGATCTGCTCAAAAGGTCTGCCCCAAGGTTGTCTTTTCCGGCGACGTGGACCACACGAAACCTCTACCCCTGCAGACTTAGAGCCCACCGTAACAATCTGTCATTTGCCCCCTTGAATGTATTTAAATACAACAAGGGTTTGTGGTCTACCTCTAGGATAAATTCTTTTCCTCTCAGATAATAATCAAATTTCAAAACCCCAAACAAAATGGCTAGACACTCACGTTCAATGGTGGAGTACCTCCTCTCCCTATCTAGTAACTTCCTACTGGCATAGGCCACTGGGTGAGGACATGCCTGAACATATTGGAGGAGGACAGCTCCTAAGCCATGACTGGAGGCGTCTGTCCTAAGAACGAAGGTCAAGTGTTGATCAGGCAGTTTGAGGATAGGCTGCGTGGATAGCGAATTCTTGAGACGATTAAATCTGGCCAGCAGGTCGTTGTTCCAGACAAGAGGCTCCCGGTGGCCTTTCCTTAGCAGGTCAGATTAGGGTCCGGTATACTCAGATGCCTGGGGAATGAAAGCTTTATAAAAAGAGATCATACCGAGAAAACTATGGAGGAGTTTCTTAGTAGTAGGAGGACACACCTCACAAAGGGCTTGTATTTTCTCAGGTTGGGGACGAAGATGCCGACCATCTAGCAAGAATTCAAGATAATGAATAGACTCAAATCCAAACCGGCATTTAGATGGCTTTGTCGTCAAAATATGTTCCCTTAACCTCTCCAGGACAGCTTTAACGTTGCCAAGATGTTCTTGCCAATCTGAGGAATATATGAAAATGTTGTCAAAATAAAAAGAAACTCTAGGCAAACCGGCAAGGACGAGGTGCATCAGCCTGATGTACGTGGCATAGGCAGTCACCAGCCCAAATGGAAGTCGGCAGAATTCCATCAATCCTCTACGAGTAGGAAATGCAGTTAGTGGTTTTGCGCGTTCAGTTAAGGGTACCTGGTAGTAAGCTTTACATAGATCCAACTCCGAAAAGTACTTCGCCCCTGAGAACTTATGCAAGTCTTCTTCCATAGAACAGGCGGGCTCGGCATGAAAGACAGTTATCGCATTTAACGCCCTGTAGTCAATGGCCATCCTAAAAGTACCATCCTGCTTACGCACCATAACCACCGGAGAGCAGTGAGGGGACGACGACAATTGGATGATTCCCTGCTCAAGTAGACTGTCGACCTCTTCTTCAAAATAACTCTGGAGATGAATAGGGACAGGATAAACTTTGGCCTGCACTCGCTGAGTGGTTGTAAGGAGGATGTCATGGTGTACAGTGGACGTGCATCCCGGGACGTTTGAGAATACATCCTCAAAGTTAGTAATCAGGTCCTCAATGTCAGCACGTTGGTTCCTCTCCAATCCAGGTTTAAGTGCGAGCCCATCATCAGTCGAAGGGGATTCTACTATACCATCTGGTGTTATCGGTAGCTGGCAACCGAGATCATCCGAGTCTGGTGCCGGAATTATTCCCGACCCCTCGCAGGGTAGTGCCTCGACTGACTCTAGCTTAGAATCGTTATCTAGGACATGAGCAAAGTTAAGGTGGGCCCTGCGATGATATTTCTTTAATAAATTAGCATGATATAACTTAGGCCCCTTAGGTTCGTCATTGACGTAATTTACCCTACTCCGCTTCTCTAGGACTTTGTAAGGCCCATTCCAGGAAACAAGCAACTTGCTCTTCTTATCAGGCAAGAGCACTAACACTTCATCCCCCGGAATAAATTGACGATCTTGTGATTTGACGTCGAAATAGGCCTTATATTTGGTGTTACTAATGTTAGCATTCTGCGCGGCGATCTTGGCACACTGTGAAAGTTTGTCCAGTAATTCAAGGACATACTGGTAGTGAGTCCGCTCGTCGTCTTCTATACTGGTGTCCTCCCACAGCTCCCTTAACACCGAGAGCGGGCCCCTCACGGCTCGGCTGTATAATAACTCGAATGCCGAGAACCCGGTCCGGTCGCTAGGAATTTCTCTCAGCGCAAATAAAGTGGGGACAAGATACCGGTGCCACTCCCTGGGTTTGTCGGCACACAATTTCCGCAGCGACGCTTTCAGGGGCCCATGCATTCTCTCAATTCGTCCATTACCACTAGGGTGAAAAGGGGTGGTAATAAAGGCTTAACTCCTAGCAACTTGTGAAGCTCCGCCATCAACTGAGAGGTAAACTGAGTCCCCCTATCTGACAGAATTTCCCGTGGTATGCCTACGCGAGAGAAGATCACAAGCAATGCTTCGGCCACAGAAATAGAATCAATTTCCTTCAAGGGCAAGGCTTCTGGAAACCCGGTGGCGAAATCAATTAACGTGAGTACATACCTGTGCCCCGCAGAGGAAGTGGGTGAATGTGGTCCAACCAAATCTATGGCTACCCGAGAAAATGGTTCAGTAATAATGGGTAAGGGTTTAAGAGGAACAGGACGGACTCTACCTTTGGCGGACATATGCTGACACCGATCACAACTCCTACAAAAGGCTCTAATATCCGCTCCCATTCCTGGCCAGTAAAATTGATCAGAAATCTTCATATATGTCTTTCTATGAGAGAAGTGCCCTGCTAGGGGGGCTCTCGTGAACTACAGAGAGAATGATGTTATGACAATCAGCCGGAACAACAAGGAAAAACTGACCTACTTTGGCTGGTTGCTTGGATGACACACACGATCGAAGTAACAGACCGTTAACACGTGCGAACTTGAATACAGACCCATCTCTAGCCTGATCCTCCTCCCTGCAAGTTACCCTCTCTCTTACCCGCTTCAGAGTGGTACACGAGTCTTGAAGCTTGGCAAATTCCTTGGGAGTCACAGTCAGCGGCTGCAATTTCGGCAGAACCAGGGGATGCAGGCGCTTCACCTTCGCCGACCGTGTCTCCACAGCTAGGATCTTTGCTGGAGGGGAGGTGGCATGAGAGGGTGGCGAGGCGACGTCAGCAGGTGGCGAAGAGACTGGTGCTGGTGGTGAGGAGAGTTTTAAAGGTTCCAGGTCGTTAGGGTCACGAACACCGGGAACATTACCAATGAGAACACTGGCAAATTTAATGGGAGCTCTTACCGCATTAGACCAACCAGTAAAATAGGGGCAACGCAGGTAGCACCCAACAACAGGGAACTGGTCAACGCGACCCAAATAATCGGTGACACTAACCTTCGAGCAGCTGGAGAGATCAGCATCAGGCAGGGCTTCCTCAGAGACAACAATACATGAGCAACCGGTGTCCCTGATGATCGTAGATGCCCATGACCCATTTATAGTTCCACTGACACAATAGCTGGGACAGCTCCGGTCTTCGAAACAGAACCCGACCTCGAAGCTGGGCGGATGAATGCCCGTAGATTTGTAGGCGTGTGGATTCTTGGGACACCGAGAACGAATGAGCCCCATTTCTCCGCAGTTGTGGCACCGCACTGCTGGTGAACTTTTCCTGTACTCCTGGGGAAGGTTCCTTGGAGGTCGGAGGCTTCCAGTTCTTGACCACAGGAGGGGAAGACTTGGGGTAGGCGTTGCGAGCAGACGCCCAGTTGTCGACAAGATGCACAGCTTCTCCAAGCGTCGCTGGCTGGTGTTCTTTGATGAAAATTCTCAAGTCTGGAGGTAGAGAAGACAAAAACTGATCTAATATCATGAAGTTAGAGAGAGACTCAAAGGTTTCTTCAACCCCTGATGTCTCCAGCCATTGTTGAAATAAACGACCCAGGTGAATCGAAAACTGCTGGTACGTTTCTCCCGCTCTAATCTTCGTTCTGCGGAAATCAGCACGATAACCGTCAGAAGTCTTGCAAAATCCTCGCAAGAGAGCTTGCTTCAACAGGAGGTAATCTCGGGTGATGTCGGCAGACAGGGACGTGTAAATTTCTACCGGCTTACCACTCAGTAGGCTACCCAACCTTACAGCATAGCTATTTGGCTCTACACTAAGCAGCTCAGCTACCCGTTCAAACCTAACAAGGTAGGAGGCGATGTCTTCTCCTTCACGGTACACAGGCAAGCTGGGTTTTACCACATTGTCTTGTATATGGCCAGAGGATTCTGGTCTACTTGAAGCATTAATCCTAGCCAGTTCTAGGTCCTTTTCTGCCTGCAACTTAGCTAATTCGAACTCGCTTTCTCTCTGACGTGCCTCTCTCTCTCTCTCTCTCTGACGTTCCTCTCTCCCGGCATTCTGTTGGGTGACCACATACTGACCAATGTCATTACCTGTCAGACCCAGGGCCACCGCTTGACCTTTCCACACCTCAAAAGCAGACATAATGATCCGAAAGGCCAAGAACAAAGGAAAAAAAACGAACGACTTACCCCGCAAATAGCCAAAGGTAACTCACCTAGTGGCTCAATCAGACCAGTAAATGATTTGATCCGACTGGAGGGAACCTCGTTCCGCACCCAACCCAGCTGAATCACCTCAGGGTAACGAAACCGCACCAGGTGAAACAACAACAAAAATGCTATGACAGCATCCACAGTGCACCCCAACCAATACTAATTAACTTCCCCAAGTACAAGGGAGAGCAACAAAATTAGCACACAGAAGGAAGGGATAACCACTGAACAACACTTGCTTCCGGGCCACAGACAGCAAGATGGCGCGCTCACGGCGACTTACAACAACACCGGAACGAATGTTAAACCTCAGAAACCAAAGGTCAGAGACAATCCTGGCAAGGTCGCCACTTGTAAAGGCCTGGGACTTAGGGATAGAAATCCCTTACCAGGCTAATCAGGATCTTAATAAAGGAAAGTCAAGGACCATGGTTTTCCGAGGAATAACAAACAACCGTTTGAGATTGGCATCTCTTTACTATAAAAATATAACACAAAACTCTGACACCACTCAACAAACATCAAATAATTACGGGAGTCAAACAATTAAGGCAGTCAACAGATAATGGGGTCAAACAATTAATGGAAGCAAACAATTAAAGGAATCAAACAAATAATGGGAGTCAGCAATTAATGGATTCAAACAATTAAATGGAGTCAACAATTGATAGAATCGAACAATAAAGGGGAGTCAGCAATTAATGGAATCAAACAATTATAGAATCAAACCATGAACAAATATTTCCTACGGCAGTGGCCCTGGGGGAAGGTTCTGGAACACGGTGATGCACACTCAGGGTAGGGAAGCGTCCTTCAACTCCACACTCGAGCTACGTCTTGTAATGGCAGGAGAACACCGGGGCACAGACGGAATGTGATGAACTGATGGTCGTGGTATGCGGTAGTGGTAGATGACCAGAGAGTTGGCAGTTGATAGGTGAAGGTCTGGGAACACAGCCCACGAGTCCAGGACCTATGATGAGATCACAGCCAGAATTTGACGGACAGCAGGGTAGCTAGATACTGACTATGACTGCTGGGTTGAATCTGCCGGTGACGCAGATAGTCGCTGCCGTTCTCACCTCTGTCCAACCACCCCAAGTGTCGTCTGCACCAGTTATCTATGCCCGGGTGGGCTTATACACATTAAAAAAAAAAACCTAACCATTCTGAATTCCGAAAACCGAAATGCCTCTGGCCCCAAGGATTTCGGATAAAGGATTGTCAACCTGTATAAAGCATTTTGCCATTAATTTTGAAAGTGGTAATGCCATCTGTGTGTTTCTGAGCAACAACTTTAATTAGCAGTGAATCGGGTGTTCTGGTGGGCAGAGGAGTGTGGCTTCAGGTTCTTAACTTCGAAGACTGTAGTCATGCATTTCTGCCAGCTCCAGGGTCTCCGCCCTGACACCGAATTAATATTATATGGTGCCCGCATTCCGGTGGTGGAAGAGACACGCTTCCTAGGCCTGATGGTAGATAGGAGAATGATCTGGATTCCCCGCCTTAGGTCACGCTGACATCCATTTGGCCACATGGGTCTTTAGATCCTCCCCAATACTACAGTCTTGTGCTGGATATGCATTGGCAGTCCTTAATGGCTCGCTGCTGGTACTGAGTACAGCATCGCCTTAGATCTCCAACATGGGAGGCCATATCTGATAGGTCCATAGACCATAGATTTACCCTTCATCCCAGTGAAAGTGCTGACTGTGGCCCCTTGGGACCTACCAGAGCTGCACTTCTGTCGTTACTTCCCGGGGAGCCATGCAATGTGGCGTGGGCTATGCATAACACCGATTTATTTGTCTCCTACCTCCCTTTTCTTGCTGTCTTTTATATACTGTACACAAGCTGCCTTTTCCCTTACATTATCAGGTTATAGATGGAATATTATTTGAAAAATACAATTTCATAACTGACCAAAGAATTGGGCAACTCAGATTTTCTTATTCCTTTTGGGCGCTGAAGTAAGCTGGAACCAAGGTCTTCATCCTGATATCTGCTCTTATAACTAAATAAATTAAGGTTCCAGAGCACACACCCGTTTTTTGTTTTTTTATGTGTGTGGTGGCAAAAACCTTTCTCCCCCACATAGGAAGAATGTCAAACCTGTTGTTATGAGGAGTAGGACGTGTTTTGGGAGGATAAACTTTTTTTTTCGTTAAACTTAATTTTATCAGCAAATTGAGTCCAGAGACATAAGATTTCACCCCTTAACCTTTTGTTACTATTTATGAGTTGTCATCCTTCACTTATTTATAAAGATTGATTTTAGAATCATTTCTCCATTTTACTGCATTTACAATTACTTTTCAAATGTCCACATTTCCTTAACCTAAAATGTTTCATAAATTTATGCTCTAAAATTAATCTAGAAAGTCACTTATATCTGTCAGTGGGCATAACACTGACTAAACTGAATACTGTACAGTATTGTTTTGTGTACTAACTAGAATAAAAAATTTCAGGATCCCTTGGAAGCAACTACTGGCCTTGTTCCTCTCTTTGGTATAGATGTGTGGGAACACGCATACTACTTACAGTACAAAAATGTTCGGCCTGATTATGTGAATGCCATCTGGAAAGTTGCAGACTGGAAAGACATCTCTGCCAGGTTCAATTCAGCCAAATAATTTTGTGCTGTGAAGGTTTGGTACATATGTTCCAATACTGTATATATTATGCCACAAATTCTATCAATCCCTTTTGTAGTACATAGTAGTTTACATTCAAATTATTGAAAAAAACAAATATTCTGTTGGCTGTTTAAAGTCATCTGGCTGTGCTTCATTATAAGATGGAAATTTCTGAAAAATTTATTTTCATTCGAATAAAAATGCTTTAATGCTCATGTATTTTTTCAATGATCCTTCAATTGTACTTCACTATTGTACAGTACAGTATATAACTGTTATAACAGGTCTTTTACAAGTAAGTTAAGAGTAACTTACAATGCTACACGTACAGTGATCCCCCACTAATGTGCTACTCGGTAGTAATTCAATTAGGCATTATCTGTACAGTATGTGTTATCAGGCAGAGTTCTCTCCCAGTCACCAGCCATGTTTCCCTATATCACATGTTACACAGGACAGTTTATAGTGAAGTGTACTAGTTCTGTGTACACATTATGATATTGGCTCTCAAGTGCCCTGTACAGCCTTTCAGTGATACTGTAGCCATTAAAGAAGATTTCAGTTTAGAAAGAAACAGCCACAGCCAACCAGCACCCTGGAAATGAGAAAGCTTCATTCATAATGAATCTCACTACACTAAGAGCGTGCCTGCCCACCACGGCTGGCTGTCACACAATGCCAATGTTCTGCCTCAATTGCTGTCTTCAAAAGTACTGTACAATATTTATTAGGTGAATATATTTGATTTTAGTTTGAAATATAAAACTGAAATGTATATGCAGTACATTAAAAACATATATACCTGTACAATACTGTTGTTCAAAACTGTATTTTGAGTGGGATCATGTTTTTGAAGAACCTGAACTTAACTCTATTTCACATAAGAAGTTACCTTTGCTCATACTGTACTGTATACAACTTTGCTCTTGTGTGGCCCCATTTCATACCTTACCTAGAACATCTGCAAGGGAGCACATGAAATTCATGTCAATTCTTAATGATGTTTTTTAATCTACTGTTTTGTTTAAATTGTTTATCTTTCATTACTATTAATCATTTTACCACACTCATCAAGTAGAGAAATGCATGCATGTACAGTCAAAGACAAAAGTCATGTCGCGGTTTTGACCGAAGATTAAATATAACTCGTGAAACATTATGAGAGCCCTACCACAACACAGAGCGCACCAAAAGTTTTAGCCCTCGGCATATGTTTTCACCAAATTTCACGACACGACTTTTGTCTTTGACTGTACATGTATACATATTCTGCATTCCTCTGCTTGATGAGTGTGGTAAAATGATTAATAGTAATGAAAGATAAACAATTTAAACATAACAGTAGTTTAAAAAATATCATTAAGAATTTACATGAATTTCAACATTTATGTTACAGTAACTTTAAAAGGCAGTAAAATTCCTCTTGAGACAGTTTCCAAGAGTTCGATTTCTCCTTCTACAATAATTATGACCTGTATCTCCATTTCATGCTGTACTGTAATCTTTTTTTAAAACAATTCAAGACATTTAATGCTTTCTCATTTGTATATTGAAAATATATGTTGACACTGTTTTGTAGCATGAAGGATAATATTATACAGTGTATGTTATGTGGCCTTAACATACATTTATGAGTTTTGGTTTTTGTTCTTAAAATGCTGACAACTATTTTCATTGCAAATACAAGTAGAGTAATGCAGCAGAAACTTTTTACAACTTCATAAAAATTCAAGTAAGGATTCTTGTACAGTATACTGTATAACACTGAAGGATAGAAAACAGAATTTATGTAAACTACAAATGAAATTTATGGAATTATACATAAGTCATGAGTACATAGTGATGTAGAGTGAATTAGGTTAACAAAGAATTGATAGGTCTAATGAAAAATAGTAAGGGTGCATTTCATAAAGCATTCATGATGTTTATCACCTAATAAGTGAAGAGCTAACTGTAGGCCTTACACTGGATAACACTTCACCCTTTGGTGGCTCTTTGACAAAAATTTACTGAAGCTTGATGTGAATAACATCCAGTCAATACATATGTGTCATGCCCAAATTTTATGATTCCTGCTTTGCTCATACATTAGTGACATTATTCAATAGAATTAGCTAGGATGATGTACTACAAGTATTGAATAAATCTTTTCATTATTTATACTTTGTTCATTCACCTTACCCTCACACTATCTCTACATATCACCATCATAATAAATGTGCTGTGTAAGAATGTTATATATACTGTAATCCTTCAAAGCTCTGTGTGTTGATAAAATCCTTCACATTCAGTTCACTTATTAACCATCAATAAAGCATGACATGGAGCTGAAATTGCAATATCTTACCTATATAATCTTGCACCCGTCTTCAGCAATCAATATATATATATATATATACAGGCAGTCCCCGACTTACGACGGGGTTAGGGATCCAATTCCAGGTCGTAATACGAAAATAATAACTAGAAAATCTAAAATGGGTGTCTTTTTTTTCTCAGCACCACAAAACTCTCACTTTTAAGCTTGCGAGCCATTTTAAAGGGAATTACAAACAAAAATTTTGTCGGTACACAGCTCAATCACTAATGTCAGGACTCAAAAATACGTAATTTGAAAAAACTTTGGTACAACTGAGGCGGTCGTAAGTCGAGGTGTGGCTGTACAGTAAGTCAGCACTTAACCTTGTTACGGTACTACGTCGCTAAACTTTAGAGACCAAAAAATTTGTTTAACGTTCCAGTGATCCGATACTACGTCGTTTTGCGTCGTCACGGACTACATTTTATGGTGCATCACCCCTCTCTCGTCTGGCTGCACTATGCTCTCTCGGCTTGGCGCAGTCTCAGTGACTCCCCGCCCTCCTCCGCTCCCGCCATCCGCCTCCTCTGCTTCACTACCCACCACACACTTGCTCTACCACATCCGCCCATCGGTGAGTACCAATACAAACTTAGCAGTTGTATATGTATTCATTATTTTTTATAGAAATGGCAATGATTTTCTGTATATATGTAATGTATTTCATGGGGCAAAGGGAGGCTCAGGAACATAACTCCCATATTTTATCTTTCTTATGGGGAAAATTGATCCGCTAAACGTTGTTTCGTTTAACGTCGTGTTTTTAGGAACGTAACTCCGACGTTAAGCGAGGAATATATATATATATATATATATATATATATATATATATATATATATATATATATATATATATATATATATATATATATATATATATATATATATATATATATATATATATATATATATATACACAGATTTGTACAGTATTAAAGTCATAGCCTGATGTGCTTGCAGCAGACATCAGAAATTTAATTGAACTTACCGGTATGTAAAGATACAGTATCATTACTTCTTTACATTACTGTACAGAGCTACAGTATATGATTTTGGCCACAATGACCCAATCGGCTGTCAGCCAGTACAGTAGATGCAAAAACTCGATGATCTGTCTTATGATATCTTAATTAGTCAGTCTCATTTTATTTAAGAAAATTATAAATGCAAATACAATTGAATTACAATCTGTATTTGGTATGAGATACATCATTTTAAATATGCACAAAATGAAAACTGCTACATTTGCATTTAAAATTTACATTTTTGATTGCAACAAGGTCAGACTATAAATAATCAGTGTTCATAATATATTCTATAATTTAATTTACATTTAGCTTGATCACAGTTCAAAAGTAAATTCTTCATAACCTATTACTGTACTTACATAACATTTTTAAAGTACTGTATTAGAATAAACTCTTATACAGACTAACACATTTTCTGTATTACCTGTACTGTAATCACAAGCTTTGCTTGCTTAATGTTAATGAACACGATAGCTAAAGTAGTTTTTTAAGACTAAACATTTTCCTTTACTGTACAGTATTTAAATTAAACACAGTACAATGGAAGTGAAACTTAGGAGAGGATAATATGAAGGAAGAGAGTGAATGAGGAGTTGATTAGTACTGTATTGTTATGGGAAGGAATGTAAGCTTAGAGGTGAAGAAGGAACAGGGATAGTTTAATCCTTCCTACCTTGACAGATGGCAGTGAAACATGGACCTGGAATGAAGGAAGCACACCAGTCTACTCTAATCTAAAAGTCAAGCTAAAGAAATGAACTACCTCAGGGCTGCATCTGGTGTTAACTGAATGGAGGCAGTGACAGAAAGAGTAAATTGCATGGAAGGTTTGGAATGGCTGAGGGTGTGAACTGTGGGAGAGGTACTCTAAGATGGATGAGTTGAAGTAATGTAAGAGAGTCAGGTTAAAGAAGAATGCCTCACAGTATTGTGTGGAGGGAAAGTGAAGCAATACATTATGGTGAAAACATGGGAGGGAATAAAGGGCAGCTCCCCATGGGAGGAAAGTTTCAGACATGAGACAATAAACCAATAAAGCATCAATAAAATATATGATAAAAAGTAAAATAACAAATTTCTTTCCTTATTAATGCCACTGTAGAAAATCTTATTCTTCTATTTTCATATCTTTGGGTGAAACACAACTGAAAGTTGTGGTACTGTATATGTATACATGTATGCAGGAGGAGCTATAACTACTGTAACATACAGCATATTTCAACCAACAAACTCTAAATCTATTTACCATTAACTGGAAGGGGAACTATTGTAATGCTTTCCCACACAATAAAATTCATTACAGAGAATACAATTGCTAGCAAAATGATGTCATTACAATTTTAGAGTAATTCCATTCACACCCACACACTGGGTCTTGTTGACTGTGGGAGTCCACAAGACCTTCTCCCAGAAAAAGGAAGTTACTACTGTATTGTTTCTTCTGGCATACTGTACTAAGTTTATAGCGAATTTGTAAACTGTACCACTGTACAGTATATTTATCATAAAATTCTACTAACATACAAACAATATAATAAAAAAAATTATTTTTCTTCACAGTGGAAAAAAAAAAAAAAAACTTGCTTGGTAAATATACTAGATTCTAAAATCTTTCCACTGGAAGGATATCATATGTATATATTTTCAAAGGTTGTACAGTAACCTGTTAACTTGGTGATAACTATCATGATCTACAGCAGTTGTAGCAAAAATTACTCAAAAACTAGCTCACTGTTGCAGACAATCACCATGATATTTCCCTGTTATGAGTAAACATGTTTCTTTATGTCTCAAGTCTTTCAGTGCCATAAGAAATCTACAGTTTTACCTTCCTCTAACAGAACCAAATTGATTTTGTCACAAACTTTACCTTATCTCTTAAGTGGTTCACTCCATAATAAAATTTGTCTGCCTTACAGATATCAATATAACCACAGCCAAATTCATCTTAAGTATAATAGTACTACTAAAAAAAATAAAGAAATAAACATTTAATAATACAAGGTATAAAATTTTAAAATAATATTCAACATTTGCAAAAACATTCCCAACTACTACATAACAGACACCTACTGTATTAGAGATATATAAGCTTCCGATTTTAAGACAGAAAAAAATCTTAAATTTAAGTTGAAGTAAAGTATATAGGTACAGTACCAGTATACAGTATAGTGGTCTGTACATATATACAGTACAATACTTAACAGTTTATACACACAGTATAGTTCTCCCTTAACTAGATTAATGGTTGTGCAGTCATTCTTGGCAACAGACAACTCCCATTACAGTACTGTACTGTAGTCATGAATATCTTGACCAGACAAAGTTCTCACTAAACCAGAAGATTTTCAGGTTACTCATGCAAGTTTCCAGACTTTAATTAAACATTCATCAAAATAATAATCCAGAACTGGAAAATAAACAAAGTAGAAAATATACAATATTAAGCAAACATGATGGTAAATAAAGAAGAAAATTACAAGTAGTGGACTCAAGGATAACCACAACACACTGAACCATCAATAACTTGCTTTTTAAAATGACACATTTCGGGATAATTCAATACTTTTTGTGAAGATAGAATTAACGAGAAGATTTAACAATTTTGGATAAAATGTTGATGTAGTGAAAAAATCTCTAAATAACCAGTGTGACTTCCACTCATCTTGCATATGTTTCAGTTCTTTAAGGGTTCAAAAGCGAAAGACATGAACAATTCACTGGTGCCAACGAAACAAGATTAAAAAGAGCGGGGTGCACTTGAAGACAAAACGCGGAACTTGTATTTATAAGGAAATGATTCAATTGATGATAAATAAAATGCACCATGGAAACAATAATAAACACAAGGTAACGAAACAGTCACTTTCCACGAAACTTTGATTTTGTTGAAAGGGTATTTTAATAATATACAGTATTGTACAGTATAATAATTTAACACAATAGAGAAGTACTATACTGTATTATATTACTGTGCACCCATTACACAAAGCAATCAGACACCCACGTGGCATCAGTAGCAATACCGCAGGCATAGCGTTTGAACAATCTACCGACCCTACCTGTGTTAAAACTCATTCTGTCTGTTAGCCATGGCTTCCAAGAACCCCCAAGAGCCTCAGCACCTCAAAAAGTATACAAAGTTTTAGTTTAAAGAAAATTACATCACTGGGGTCAGCATCACAGCACAACTCTTCACTCCAAGGTGACAATTAACATGCAAGTCAACTATTCTTATACAGGGTACTGTATTTTATATATTCACATCATTATCAAAGTTAGTTTGATCTGTAGAGTATACAGTAGTCTTAAAACAGTGATAGGTTTTTGTCATGCCAGGCTACCCAGTATCAAACATCAAAACACATGTCCTGTAAAAATAACGAATTTCTCTCGAATTGTAAGGCAACTTGTAGCAAATATCCAAAATTGAGGTCCTGGGTAATTTCATTATACAGAGTATTGGGATAGTTAGATATTTTGGTCTAATTTGATCGACCCAGAGCTCTAATAATAAGAAATTAGTGAAGGTTCAGTGTACTGTACAGTAAAGTGTCATACTCACCATTAGAACTCGTACAGCCGACCACATCCACTGTCTCGGCAAGTCTTTGAGTGTGGTTAGGCATCAACACCGGCCAGTGGTATACCACTAGCCACAGACTGCAATGTTAGCTTCTCAAACTTTAATTCTCCTGTCCTAATTTAAACTAACTTGTTTCAACTGTCTTTGTAAAGACTTTAATGACTGCTGTTTCAGCTTTTCCTTAC